ATAGATGTGGGTGGGGAGGGCCTGGGGCAGGTAGGAAGAGTCCATTTTGAACTGGCTGAATTTAGTTGACTGGGGCATACCCGGATTGGATGTAGCAGCCTAGAGCTAGAGGCTTGGCAGGGCTAGAGATACAAATATGGGGACAGCTGCATAGAGATGGCCTTTCATCTCTGGGCCTCTGCTTCATCTTCTGTAAAATGGAGAAACGTTCTCTAAGCTATGGAGTCAAGACCGTCCAAGACCCTTCCAGTCCAGTGCTTCCCAGACAGCCACAGCATCCCTGAGAAACCCCTGAATTTGAGATGTTAGCCCTCAGGGACTCCTGGGTTCTGCTTAGAATGAAAATGTGTCAGCTCTCACACCATCCAGCACTGAATGATTTCAGGATTAGAATTACAAAGCAAAGGGAGACATCAGGTGAAGGAACAGTGACCCAAAGAGAGGCCAGAATCTAGACTGTGGTCTAGACAAAGGACTGTAGTCTTGGGCCATATTTACAGAGAGATTAAAAAAAAAAACAAAAACCAGGAATTCTGAGTTTCCAGCTACGCTAGCCAGCTGAGTCAGAAAGGCAGTGCCACTCCTCAGGACTCAGTTGACCTCCGCTGAGAATTTTCTTTTAAGATGACTGTGAACATTTCAGATGCATTAGGTATATTCATCAATACATGTGCTATCCTTTCAAACTCTATAAATGGCCAGTTTGGAAAAGCCAGGCACAATTTCCTGTTTAAAAGGTACAAAAAATAAAAGTGCTGAATTTTTAATCCATAATCTTTACCAAAGTAGTCTACATTTATATACTGTAGATTTTACAGAAAGGGATCGGAAAGTATAAATTGGCCAACTAGGCCACTTCTCAGAATTAAATCTTTCAGAAGTGTAGGAACATTTGTCCTCAAGTCACTTTAGATTGTCAGAAAGTCCTTTATCCACAATTTTCAATCTCTGTGGGCTTGACCAACTGTGTGTTTGTGTCAGTCATTGCAAGCAAGGTTTATTAAAGAGGGCTTTTTGTCCTCTAGCTCCAGCTTTTTAGATGTAATTTAAACACAGAAGGTTCCCTCATGTTTCCTCCCAGTCATTCCCCACATCACCGCACAGGCAACCACAGATCTGATTTCCCTCTTCATATTTTAGTTGGCCCCTTTTTAGACGTTAAAATGAAGGGAACTATAGGATGCGTACTCTTATTTCTGTCTTCTTTAGCTTAGCAAAATGTTTTTTGAGATTCATATTTTTAAGTATATCAATAGTTTACTCCTTTTTTTCTTACAATTTCTTTTGAAAGACTTTAAGACTCACAAAAAGTTGCAAAAATAGTAGAGTTCCCCCAGCTTTGCCCAATGATAATATATAACCATAGCACATTATCAAAACTCCCAAATTCACATTTGTACAATACTAACTCAAGTAGAGATAGACTTTATTCAGCTTTCACCAATTTTATGTGCATTCTTTTGTGTGTATATGGTACTATAGGATTTTATTGCATGTACAGATTCATGTAACCAATGCCACAATCAGAATACAAAATTGTTCTATCACTACAAAGAAGCCCCTTGATGTTACCTCATAGTCACATCTCCTCCCCCGACCCTAACTCCTGGCAGCCACTGATCTGTTCTAAAGCACTATAATTTATTATTTCAAGAATGTTTTGTACATGGGATCATACAATATGTAGTTCTTTGATACTGGCTAGTGTCACTCAGCCTAATGCCCTTGAGATCCATTCAATTTGTATCAACATTTCAGTAGTTGTATGATAGTTGTAATCAGTTTGTTCATTTATCCATTGAAGGACATTTGGGTTGTATCCAGTTTTAGCTATTACCAATAAAGCTGCTATGAACATTGGTTTGCAGGTTTTTGTTTGAACATAACTTCTCATTTGTTCACGTAAGTACCCAGTAGTATGGTTGTATGGCAAGTGTATGTTCAACTCTTAAGAGATTGCCAGACTGTTTTTCCAGAGTGGCTTTACCATTTTACATTACTTCCAACAATGTATGAAACGTCTACTTGCTCTGGATCCTTGTCAGCACCCAATATTAATTTTTTTAATTTTAGCCATTCTAATAGATATGTAGTGGTATTCCTCATGATTTTGATTTGTATTTCTGTAATGGTTAACAATCTTGAATATTTTTTCTTGTGCTTACTTGCCGTCTATCTTTGGGGAAGTGTCTGTTCAAGTCTTTTGCTAACATTGTAATTAGATTGTTTTTTTATTATGATAAAATATGCCTAATGTAAAATATACCATTTTAACCATTTTTTAAAATATATTTTTACGTGTTATTTAGCCATATTTATAAGCATCCTTTTAAAAATATATATGTTTTCATTGATTTTTTAGTGAGAGATGAAGGGAGAGAGAGAAACAGAGAGAGAGAGAAACATTGATTGGCTGCCTCCCATATCCTCCCTGACTCAGGAATGAACCCGAAACCCAGGTATTTACCCTGACCAGGAATTGAACCAGTGACCTTTCAGTACACCAGACGACACCCAACCAACTTGAATTACACTGGCTAGGGCTTAACCATTTTATTTTAATACTCACCTGAGGACATGCTTACTGATTTTAGAGAGAAAGGAAGGGGGGAAAGAGAGAAACATTGATCGGTTGCCTTCTGTATACACACCCAGACCAGGGATTGAACCCCCAAACTAGGTATGTGCCCTGACCTGTAAGCGAACTGGAGTCCTTTCGGTGTACCGGAAAACACTCCAACCAACTGAGCGACACCAGCCATGGCCATTTTAACTGTTTTTGAGTATACAGTTTAGTCTCATTAAATACATTCACATTAT